ATTCTAGGGACTGGGAGACAGGTCAGTTTTAAAGTGGGGGAGGGGGGTATTATGCATTTTTCTGGCACAATTCAATTCTGTATCACAATCAAGTAGCTATGCTACCTTCATTTGTTTTGTATGATGGAGTATTAAGTCTACACGAGATTTTTAAAAAATTTTATTACAAGAATAAAGTCGTATGAGAATAGTCGTAATGTTACAAAAATCAAAATATTACAAGATTAAAGTCATAATATTGCGAGAACCTTTACACACATACACACACACAAAAACCGTCTTATCACATTAAAATGAGGAAAGTTGAGCAACTTGTAAAGTTGTTCTTTAGTATTAGTTAAAAGAAATATTTTATCTTTTAGCACATTAGCATCAAAGTATCAGTAGCAAGACTTTGAAAATATTCTACAAACGACTATGATCAACTGAAGCCATATTACAACTAATGGCTGCATCGTCGGATTTAGTCGTCACATAATTTGGATGAAAGCATATTACACTAACAGTGACCCAAAAGTCATCGCGGATAAACACAGCGACACAACACTGTCCGGGCAGGTGGAAAATGATGAGGAAATTAGTAAAAATAAATAAATAAATAAAATCAGGAATGGAAAATGGACATGTCACGTTAGATTGACTTTGATCTCACAATATTGACTTTATTCTTGTGATTAAAAAAAATTGTGACCCTAATGCACTGTTGTAGTTATGAAAATGCTATATCAAAAATAAATTTTGACTTTGCATCATAGCCTATCTAAATGCCTTCAAACTGACCTTTGTCTCTCACTTCAGCACGACTTCACAACAATGCTTCGGGGGAGGGGCTGCTCTGTGGGGCGGGAGCTCAGCTGCAGACTGAGCTCCAGGGAGGAGCTTTGTACAAATAGGTGGTGCTTTGTACCAGCAAGCATTTAAGCAGCTCCACATAGCTACCACAGGAGATTCAAGGATTTCTCAAACATGCATGAATGAGTCAAAGCAACACTCTGGCTATGCTCTTTTTTTATGAGCGAAAGACATAACATGACTCAAAAAGTCAATTTTTGCATAATACTCCCATTTAAGAAGTTCTAAACGGAGCAACTCAGCAAAGTGCTCAAGTCCTCAGACTGGACCAGTGGTTTACCTTCCAATGTGACACTCATCCAAAGCACCCAGCGAGGACACAGTGGATGTCCTAGACTTAAATAAATAATACATTTGTTTCTGTTYTTCTAAAAATCTAATTGTTCGGATTATTCTTACTAATCCTAACATCTATAAACTCTGTTTTCATCTAGTTCATATTTAAGAGGTTATTATATTAATGAAACGGCAAAGTCAGCTGTCACGATCTTCGCGTTACCTGATGTGTCCAGATGAGATGTGCTATCATCTTCAACTCCAACAACAGAGCAAACTACAGCTGATCTGGAAAAGTGTTTACTTATCAGTGAGGTAATACCTGTCTTTTTAGAAACTTATGGTTTGTGGGATCAACTGGGGCATGATTCAGGTCCATGACCGACTTGGAGGGAGGGCCTTTGGTGGGATTATGGGTAACTGTGGTTGTTGGAGATGATGAAAGTTGAGCGGTATCTACAAATGATTGTTTGTTCAGATTACTGACTCTGTTCCAACTCCTTCCAGTCGGATCCTCCTTCATCTTGATGTTTAGGACACTTTTAATCTCTGATAACACATTTTATTATTAGCTATAAGAGTTTGTTCTCCAGTTTATTCCAAATGACCTTTTTCTTTTCTCATAATTGGCTTTATGGTCTGCTATCTTTCATATTTTCCATGTTTCTCTGCTCCAACACACCTGATTCAGTGATTCAATTACCGCTGTAGAAGTCTATTAATCACAACTTCTTGCAAATCAGGTGTGTTTGAGCAGAGAAACAAGAACAAGATCAGATTACAAGATAGCGACTCTTGAAGACCAGAGTTCAGCGCCTCTGCTTTAAGCTCTTGCTCTTCGCGTCTCAGTGGGTACTGGTCCTCCTCCCTGAAGGCTTTTTTTTTAAACCACAGTAGCGCCTTTAGGTCACAGGTGTTAGCTTTGTCATTAGGGAAACACCTCATTAGCTGGGTTGGAAAACAAGTGCAGCTCAAAAAATTTAAATATCGAGAAAATGTACTTTTTTTATTAATCAGTTCAGGAAGTGAAACTCAAGATTTACACAGATTCGTTACAAATTAAGTAACAAAAAACGTCTGAGATTAATGTCCAGGCTTAATAAACACTGATGAATCATTGTAGAAAATAATTCTGCTTTAAAATCATAAAGGTGAACAGCTGCCATGGTGGGTACAAAGTGGGCGGAAACAACAAAATAACGTGTGCAGCTTAGAATACAGTTTTATGAGATGTGCACATGAAGTTGAGCCATGATTTTYGAATATTAGCAGGTCAAATTGTGGCCGCACGGCTTTCTGGTGCCAACTCTCAAAATTCAGTGATAGTGCAATGAAGAAAATTAACCATTTTTTTTTTTACATTTTCGCATTACTGACTCAGTTGCATCCCTTAACTCGTACTGGGCCAAAGCAAAACTGCACTTTTGTCAGGAGGTACAGACCAACAAACAAGAAAATTGCTGTAGATGTCACGTTTATTCCTGACAGTTTCACTTAGTTTGGACAGAACAATAAAAATACTAACATTATTAATAAGTTGGATTAGCAGTATAGCATAAAAAGCTCATAGTCTTCCATCTTGTTTTTCTTTTACATTGGGTCCATATCACAAAGTGTGAACAGCGGAGCAGTGGTCAGTGCTGTTACCTCGCAGGTTGCCTTCCCGCCCTTTCTGCGCGGAGTTTGCACGTTCTCCTCGTGCAGTTGTGAGTTTTCTCTGGGTACTCCGGTTTCCTCCTACAGCCTAAAAAATKAA